GCCCTCCCAGGGCAGCTTTTCCCACCATGCAGGTAGCAGCAATGGTCTAAGGTAATGATTAAGAGCTTGGAAACCTGCTGTGCCTTCATTTCTGCCATAAATCTGTAAAATGACGTTCTGTGGAAGTAGAAAGGAAAGGTTTTGATTTTAGAGATGAGAACAAATTAGCAAACCATCTCTGCAGGATTTCTCTGCCACCATGTAACTTCCAGACTTGCTGTATGCAGTTAAGAATAAGGTTTACAAGCTAACAAGATCTATAAAGATAAGCTGTGCTTACAAAGAGATAAATGAAGAGGCAAGTCCAAAACAAATCCTTGCTCAAGTCTTTAGTCAGTAAAAACTGTTTGCAAGGAATGTTCTTATACCATCGGGTGTCCACTGGAACTAGCAGCGATAAGAGATAATTGAGTGACCACACATTAAAAACATGGCCTTGATTTCTCATTTAGCTCTGCTGTAATTTGATAGCTTTTTCATTTCATTCCAAACAATTAATGCCTTTTTCTCAGTCATAGGTTTGCTGAAAGAGAGGAGTGCTGACTTGGAGCATCCTCGAGATATTGTGTGTTAGCAGTTTGAGGTAAGAATTGCTACATCTTGTTTGAAAATGTCATGATGGATCATATAACATTAGGTCCATCAGCCAGATATTAGCTGTAAAGAAATTAGCAAAAAGGCCAGATAGGATCCAGTGCCTGAGAAGTAGCTATATGGAAAATGAGTCAATCTCTAGTCTTTATTTCATGTTTTGGTCAATGAAAATAGCTCCAGCTGTAAAAAGGGCCATTGTTTTAATTAATTATTGTCTTCACACAGCACTAAGTGATATTCTGCTTAGTAAATTAAAGGCATGTAAAGGCATCAAGGTACATATCTAACAGATTAAGATATGCTCATTAACTAAACTCGAAAAGTAGTTGTTAATGGGAAAATATAATTAAATAATGAGGTTTCCACAAAAGTGCTCTTGGGCTCGGCGCTGCCCAGTGTTTCAAATCCTGTGTCACTCTTCACACCTACTGGAAGAACTTGGTTCTCAGTATGTACTTTGAGAATACAACCAAGCCAGCTCCTAATTGCCCTATAAAGTGCTTCTGTTCTTGAATGTGGATGGAATTAAGCCCCACTTGTTGTCCACAAGTTACCAGGACCTGTCTCTGACAGTGACAGGACAATGTTACCAAAACACATGTATATAAAGTGGCCAAACACTGATGGAAAGGTAGAGTAAAAGCAAACTTTGAGAGCCATTTTTTCCAGATTAAAATGTTTGACCTGGCACAAATATATCACTGAGGCAAACTTTAAAGTCAGTTCTACAGTCTTTTTATGGGCCTCCTATAGCCTCCGAATAAATCTTACATCCCTCTCCACAGAGCAGTATTCAAATACTCCTGTTCTGATGCCTCTGCCAGCCCAGTATGAACTTGGAAGCTGAAACTCAGGAAATAATTTTTCCTAATTTAAAAAAAAAAAGAATTATTTTTATTGCTGCATTAAGCAATAATGCTTGTGCTGTCAGGGACTTGGCAGTTGTGATGGCGATGCACATTATTGATGTTGGTTAGTAATGGGCAATCCAAGGCCATTTCTGTGTCTTGCAGCAACTCATCTGTCCTGCTGCATCGTTTCATGTAGCAATAAACACTGCAAACTCTCATAACATTCAGGGAACGCCAATGATTTATGGCTTATAGCCCAAATAACCAAATGCAGAAATAAATAATTCCACTTTTCAGTCAGGATGTATTTCTATAACTCTATGTGTTGCCTGCATACCCAGACCTGTATAACTTCTGGCATGACCTTTCTCATGTTGCTTTTTAAAAAGCTTCTGTAGCTGAAAAAATGGGCAATGTTGGGAGAAACAAACAAACAAACAAACAAACAACAAAAAAACAAAAAAACAAACACAGGGGAAAAACAAGGTTTAAAAGGCAAGAAATGAGGACAGGTTGTGTAAAATTTTATTTGTGCAGGATATTTTTAAGGGGAGAGGGGAACAACATTGGTTTTGGAGATAGCTGGTCATTTTTTGCATATGGTAGAATGTCTAAATATTTTGGTAATACAATCTTTACAAAACATCATGTCTCTGAAAGGGAAGATTCCTATTTTGCTGCAAATGAAGTGGCTGTTCTCAGATAAGAGGATGAGATCACGTTTATTGATGTCTATTCCAGTTTCATTCACCTTTTAACCCACAGACTTTACTACGAGGCACTGCTGATCTGCCTACATTGTGGCAAGGTTTCAGTATATTGGGGTGTATCACGCAGATGTAGTGTCTTATCCAGAGGACGCAGAGCAGAGCAAACTCCTGCAGCATGCTTCTTCATTTGCAGCTCCCATGCAGACACAACACTGGAATTTTCCTCTGCCAGTGGCGTCCAGCAGCTCTGCCTGCAGACAGCCAGTTCTGCATATGCAGGCTCTTCACATGTGGATCTCTGGCCATGGAAAACCCACAGCAGGAGTATTCCAGCAGCTTCTTATGTATTCCTCCTTCCGTGTTTCCAATACATTGTAAAGAGCTGCTTAAAGCCCCTGTCCCACGTACTCTCCTAAGACATACACTGCCAGAGCAGCTTCCGCCAGAAAGACGTGCCTGGCAACAGCCTTGCGTGTTTAAGTTAAAGATGGGAAAACATCACAGTGCGAGCAGCAGGCATGAAGATGTACCGTCTGATAACTATAGAGGCAGTTTTCTTCACAGTGTTACTATTTTGGAAGAGGAAGAGCATTCAGTAGTACTTAAATGCTCAATGCGTACACAAACTGAATTGCTTCCAAAGTGCAATGATCATTCTGCCTGTGAGGAACCCATACTCTGCTCAAACACAGCTATTCTGATCTATTTCCTCAATAACAATTCCTAATTTAGCAAGTCTAGCTAAATTAGCTAGACTTGTTTAAAGACTTAAACTTGTTCAAAGTTTAAAGACTTAAAATAGCTAAAGAAAAACAGAAGTTACCATGAAGATTCTTTCATTAAGTTTTTTTTTTTTTTTGTGAGAACACTTCAGTAGTGTGAGCTTGGATTTTTTGTTTAATGTCGGAGACCTTTTCCACAGAAGTTTTCTGGGAATAACAGAAAAATAATGCAGTGAGCTGAAAACTGATTTCAGCATGCTAAAATATATTCCATGCATGTGACAGCAGTTTGTTAGCTGTCTGTGTGCTCACCTTGATGAGAAGTATGCATTTCAATGCACCATCGGAGAACCACGGAGCCACAGAGTCAGAGCATCACAAAACCGTGGGATCACAGAATCCTAGGCTGTTTTTGCCCAGCTTAACCTGTTTTCCCCCATCAGTATGAATTATGTGTTGGGTGACAGCACTGCAGGCTCTGGGAAGTTCTCCTGTGGCCTTCACCACAGGCCACAGCAGGGAGATTGTATCCCCAGCATCTCCCAGGAAGGAACCACTTCCACACAGCCCTCAGGGACATTGGCTTGATGCTGGGATTGCCGAAAAGCAGTGCTAATATTCAGTTATCTGCCCTGGGAGCTCAGCTGAGGCCCCTCAGCAGCCTGTGGGTGCAGCAGCCTGCTTGTGGGACCGCAGCAAGGGCGGATGGAGGGGCTGGCAGTGCTGGGTTGGCAGCAGGCCTTACAGGTCTCTCCCAACCTAAATGATTACTCTGTGATTTCTGTGATCACCAGGCCCAGCGAGCCCCCTGAGCATGACACACTCAATAGCAATTGTAATCTTTACAACGAACTGACACTGGGCTGGTGGATGTCTGACAATGTATGCTGACACGACCCAGCTATGCTTACATCTTTCCAGAAGAAATTAAACGAAGTGAAACCAACAACTTGATAAAAGTCAGAACCTGCTTTATATGACATTTTAATGGTATTTGCACTTTTATCTGTTTCCTCCCTTGGTTTTAAGCAAGTTTAAAAAGCCCCAATAGCTGTAATGCTGCTGTCCCCTCCAGTGACATAGAGTGGGCTGGGAGTCCTGCACAGCACCCAGTCTGAAGTGAAATCTCCAGCCTCCAGAAATTACTCATTTAAAGCAACAATAAAAAACAGCACTGATTATTTTGGGGTTCTGAGTGAATGAAAGAACTTAGAATATATATGTATGGGCTTGATTTTGAAGGTCTTTTTCAACCTGAGCACTTCTACGATTCCATGTTTACATCCACATGGCACACGCAGCCGCTGCGCGTTCCCGCCGCGCTGGCGGGAGCCAGGATCGCGCACGACCGCCCCTTCCCGCGCCTCTCGGCGCCAACCCGCGGAGCGGAGCGTCGCGCAGCTCCCCAACCCGCAGTGCATGCTGGGACATGTAGTTCCCTCCCTGCTCTCCGCCTTCGCTGTGGGCCGCCGAAGGACTACAACACCCAGCAAGCCTCCGCAGCTCTACCGCCGGCCCGTCGCGCTCTCTCCGTCAGCGACTACGATCCCCAGAGCGCTCCGCGGCGCGGCGGAGAGGACCGGGAAGGAGAACCCGGGCCGAGAGGGAGCGGGCCGGTGGGGTGCGGCTGCGCGGAGCGCGGCTTCCTGAGTGTCTGGTGGCGGCGGCCATTTTGTGCTGGTTCTTCGCTCTCCCGTTCGGGCTGCGGTGTCGGGACCTGGAGAGGGGGCGAGACGGAGCGGGGGCAGCCGGGGCCCTCAGCCTCACCTTCCCTTCGCCTCCCCGCGCGGCGGAGCCCCCCCCTCCGGCGCTGCCCCCGGCCGCGAGCGGAGCTCACGCACCATTATGGAAGACGACGGGCAGCCCCGGACCCTGTGAGCGGGGAGGGGGCCGGCGGGGACCGCGGGGCCGGGCAGGGCGGTGCGGGGCCGGGCCGCGGGGGCGGGGAGGTGCGGGCGGCGAGCGGCGGTGCCGGCGGGCGGCGTGTGAGGGAGGGACGGCGAGCGGGAGCCGTGCGGGGAGGGAGGGAAGGAAGCAGGGAGGGAGGGAAGGAGGGAGGGAGGCTCCGGCGGGCGGGCGGGCTCTGAGGGAGCGCGGCGGTGCTGAGGCCCCGGCCCCGCCAACTTCTTTGTTCGGCCCCGGCGGGACGAGCGGCGCTCCGTGGGCCCGGCAGGAAAAAAGACTCCACACAGCGTCTGGTAACTGCCCGCGTCCTGTCCGAAAATATAGCGCCGAGGTTTTGTTGTTGAGTTCTTTTCAACTCTGCAGGTATGGCTTTTTTTGCGTGCGTGTTGTTCTCTTAGGCTGAGGGCTGTCTGTAACGCGAGGCGATGCGGAGCAGATCGTTCTCCATCGCTCCGTTCGCTGGTAGCTGTGCGGCTGGCGGGGTGCGAGGCAGTGCGGGCTGTTCGGCACAGCACGGCTCCATGGAAGCTTTGTCTGTGCGGGCCGGGATGGCAGCGCTCCGAAAGGCTTCCAGGTGCTTTAAGAGGAACGACTGAAACAGAGCAGAATATCTCAGAGTTGCTCTGTTTTGTTTCTAGTACCAAAATGATGACTTGGCATTTAAGGCTTTTCCAGGCAATTTGCGGTGTGTTGTTTTCTTTTTTTTTTTTTTTCCTTCCACTCTTCCCGATGTCTGCCAAAGTTCTCTTAACTTGCTTGCAGTGTCATGTGATACCTGCTCAGTCCTTGGGTTAGATAGAATAAATCTATCCGCAATGCTTTCTGTGTTGAGGTCTCGAGTGGTCCGAGTGTGCTTGGCCCTGACAGTGGGAGTAGTTTCCAGAGCGCTGCTTTAGAATGAGCAGAGGGAAAAGGGCAAAGGTGCACCGTGTTTCACTCCAGGTCTGTTTCCTTTGCTGATGTGTTCCTCCTCAATTTTTTTTCTTCCTTTCTTTTTAAGTAAGTGCTATACCCAGCCGAAGTTTTAAAATCTTTTACTCCTATCTAACAGCACTTGAAGTGAGCTCTTCTCACTGCACCCAGCTGTGGCTGAAGTTGGCGCGTAGTCACTGGTGAAGGAAAAATTATTTTTGTGCTAAAGTGTCTGAAATGCCATCACTGCAGCTGCCAGAGATGTGCTATTGCATGAATGTGACTCTCTACTTAACTCGTCAATGTAATGAACAGCACGTATGTTCATTTCCTAGTAGCTTTCTAGTGATCCTAACCCTAACATAGGGTTACTTCTCTCTTATCCTTTTAGGGCACTTTTCATAAAGTATGAACATTTTTGCTTTTTTTTTTTTTCCTGAAATATCTTCAAATTTATATCTGCAAGTTCTTATTTTAAGATTGTTTTGCTGGCTGATACTTGTCATACATAGAGCAGTTGTGATCTTGCATATACGTAAAAGGCTCACTGCCTCCCAAGAACAACTAATAATGTCATTTGAGCTCTGTAGTTTGTTTTTACAGGAGGAAGTCTAATGAAGAATAAATTGTTCGTGTGGCTATTTGACCAGAAGTGCTTGGTTGATAAATTAAGGGCAGCTTAATAGATGTCTTTTGTATTTTGTTTATTCCTTCAGTAAGGAAATTCCAAAAGGGTTTGCTTTGTTGTTTTCAATCATGGTTGGTTGTGAACCTCAAAGAATTTAAGATATCTTCTGAGGCTTACAATAGAAGTTAGATGCCAGTTACATTTTCTTTGTCCTCACAGTTCTCCTCACTAGTAGCCTTTATGGAAAGTGTCTTCTGCCCAAAACTCTTCCTTACTGTTTGAAACAAGGTGAAGCTAACCTGAGAGCATAGGCTTTCTGTGGTATTTTTCACAGCAGCATCTAGATTTTGGTCAGCAATCCTCAAAGCAGATGTAGTACAGAACATTCTGTGGGTGCTGTTGGATCTCTTTCCATCATGAGCCATAGCAAAGTTCAGTTTGTACCTTAAGGTGGAAACTGTGCTATCAGACATCAACATTTGTCTGTTCTTGGTGTTTTTAGCTGCCCCTTAACAACAGGAAGAAAAAGTTGCTGATTTTCATGTTCTTATTAATGGCCGTAGAATAAAATGAAGAGCAGTCATTATATACACAGGTTGTTCCATCATTAGCCTTGCCACACTGTATGGTGAGTACTGGGGACTTCAGGTAGGATGCAGAAGTGCAGGTCTTCAGCTGTGAATACTGAGTTGGGTTTGCTTAAGTTTTGTGCCTTGTTTTGGTTCGTCCTCGTGCAGAGCAAGATTCTTTTGGTAGAGTTCTGCTGCGTAGATTTTTCATGTTATTTCCTATAGCTCACTACTGCCATTAGAGAGATGCTGCTAAGGTTTCTAGGCAGTTTTCACTCTGTCAGTTACCTTACTTCTTATCATAGTTTCTGCATTAGTATAGCACTTCTTGCATGCTGTCTGTATAAGTGTGGAAAGCATTTGTTCTGGTTTTCATTCAAACAGTGTGTAGGGGAGCTTTCCTGGACCTGAAAGTAATGGCTCTAAACATCCCTTTCTTCCTTGGCTGTCTGAAGTGAAAGAAAACCCATTTACCATTTACCCCCACAAAGAGGATCTTTTTGTTCAAGCCTAAGATTTTAATTCTGAAACTAACTGCTAATGTGTCTTTCATTCTTCATGCAACTTTGCAAGATCTCAGAATTTCAAATACAGTTTCTTGTTTGTGTTGTCAACCACTTTCAAGTATAATATATTGAAACTTGTATCAGGCTATATAATATATGGTTTGGTTTGCTATACGTGCTTATTAATTAGTATTTAAGTGGTTCAAACTTCCGGAAGAGAGCAAACATGATTGCCTGCATGCAAAAAGCCAGAACTTCGCTGCCCTGTTACATGAACCAAGCTAACAGCATATATGAGTGTAGGAAGTGCTGCTTTGTTGAGCTTTCTGATGATTTTTAAGTTTGAACGATGTATTCCATAGGATTAACAAACCAAAAAGATTGATACACTGTAGAACAGCTTTCTGAAAGTCATGTTTTCTTTGGGTGTGTTCCTGCTCATTTTGGCTTCATAAAGTAGAATAGGAAGCATTGTGTTCTATCGTGTGAGTTGAGGTGAAGAAGAGGTGCCCCAGTTGTCTGGCAGTGTGTGGTTAGCATCAGCTGAGAAGCTTTGCGTTTCCAGGAGGTAAGGTTTCTGCTCCAAGTCTGTAGAGTGTTTGTTTCCTTAGTGATACAGTATTCATAGAATTACAGTATATCCTGATCTGGAAGGGTCTGGTGAGGATGGTGGAGCCCAACAAGCATTCAGACATAGCGTGCTGAAGCTGTTTGCTGGTATGGTGCTTCTTTTTCCAAGTCATCTTTTAACTGTACTGAATGTACTAACTTACAAGTGTACAAGCAACCATCAAGCCCTCATCTTTAATGTATTGTTTCAAAAACTTGTAGTGGTTTGTATTCACTTATTTTACGTGCACTTCCAAAGATTTGGGTCTGTGTGTATGCTGTCTTTGTTCCATGAACCTCTCCTTGTGAAGCAGTTTCAGGGTGTGTGTTCAAGTTTGAGAGCGTTAGCAGCTTGTGAAATGTATTAATGGGTTCTGATTGCAGTAATGTTAGACATCAAAGCAGTATTTATCGTAAACACAGAGAATTGATGGACCATGAGGAGCTTACAGCCCTTCTGAATCTATCCATCAGGCAGTCCCAAATTACACTGCTGATTTATTATCTTTTGTGAAGAAGCAGCCCGTTTTGTAGCTGAAACTTACGATGTCACGTTCTCACAGCTGCCTGGTAGGAGATGCAGTGGTATTGAAAACCAGCTGGTAATTCTTCTGAAAGTTGTCCTGTCTTATCTTAATTGGACAGATTTTGAAGCAACAGATTTCCTGACTTTTTTGGTCAGACCAAAAAGAATTCTTCAATCTGCTGTTCAGAGTTCCTGCATTTCTGAAATAAATATTAATATTATGCAGAAGATACTGAGACTTTGGCTTCCTGTATTGACTGCACAGTAGGACTTGAAGTTAAAAGGGCTTCACTGTATTTTCTTTCATGTCAGTGCTACAGGTGCTTACTTCCGTGTGCTGTTAGCTAACACAGCTTGAGGAGATACAAGGAGAACAAGTGCTGGTAATAAGCTCATGTCAGTACAGACGTTTTATGTGGGAACTCCTACTAGGAATCATATTTTCCATTGGATTTTAGTAATGTGTGCTGTGGTTGGTATTTCCGCTTCAGACTGCAAATCACCAGCAGCTTTAACTTAGTGAATGATTAACAAATGGAGTTAAGGTTTCAAATATAAGATCTGAATGTTCAACTGCTGAATTTTTGGAATAGGGCATTGAAGAGTCAGCAAGATAGAGCCTGTTATAAGGCCAGTTGCTTCTTAAATTTGTCAAGTGTTTACTTACACAAGTACTTACACAGGATATGAATGCAGCTTCCATTAGTGATGTCTGCTAATTCCTACATATTTAGTTAGGAAGTAAAGAAATGGATGTTCCTGTGTTTGGGTGCTATCACAGGAAGTAGTCACTCTGGATCTTGTGTAGCATTTACCTGCAAGCAGAGAGCATGGAGCTCTTGGGTAGCTGTTGAAGGAGTATCAGCATAGAGGAAAACATATTCATTTATTCGTGTGGGTTTCAAATAAAAACAAGTAGTGTCAGTTTTAATCTTGCTCAATCCAAATGAAGGTCCAGCTGTCAAACACAGACATAGCTTTTGCAAATTTGACTTGAATATGAGAGAAGTGCATGCTTAAATTGCTGCTCTGACAAGAGCTTTGCTTGTGCATCAACTAAGTACGAGTTCAAGTTTCTCTCACTGAGGTGTATCGACAACTTGGACGGATTTGTTTGCTGTAGTATGAAAATCTGTAGTAGATTACAGTGTAATGACTAAAACGTGCATTTTTTTACAACAGCTAAATTGCAGATTTACATTTGTGCACCTTATATTTGGACTGAATTGTTCTTAGAAATGACGAACGCACCTCTGCCAGTGATTTTGTGATTTTGAGTAGTGTAGATATGAGGAGCCCTTCTCTTGACTGATCACTTCGATGATAAATAGAGTGTGATTCCAGTTTGGTCATGCTTTTTGTTTTTTAGCATTCGATGTGTGTTTGACTTTTTCTCAGCCACCTCTGTGACCTGGCTTTAATTTTTCAGTGTTATGCTCTCATGGGTATTTAGGAGTGGTTTCTGAGCTGCTATTGGATTTTATCTCTGTGCTTCTCTAGTGTCTCTATTTTTTCATAAAAATGGTTCCATGTTCTGAAATTTCTATGACTTCATAGGTAAAATCTGTAAGTATGGGTGATATTAAAGTAAAACTACCAAATCTGGGGGGAGCTGGTAGCTGCTGAGATAGATAATGTGTGGAGCATTCCTATGGCGTAAGCTGTGTGCCTTGCCTTTTGGTGGCTGGGCTGCTTTTCCAATTCAGGAAAACAGCAAAATGCAGCTGGTCCTTTGAAGGCAGCATAATCTACGTTCAGTAGCTACTATTGAAATAGCAGGAGTTTGGTATGAGCTTTGTACCCCAGTGGGAAGTTGGCTTTGTTCAGATGCTCAGTGGGAAGTGAAACTTCAACCTCCTGGGCAAAGATGTTTTTTCTCTCCAGCATCCCTGAGCAGTGCTGTCCAGTTTCTGACCTTTCTCTGCCAAAGGCAGCTTTGGTGCTGGCTGTCGATGGCGGTGTTAGGGCTGCTCCAGGCACTGCGTTCCCACTTGTGTTGCCAGCTTTATACTGAAAGACCATGTGAATGTTGCATTGTAGCCATAATGTGAAATCATTTGTGAATCACACCTTTCAGATGAAGATGCCCAGGATTTTAAATAGTTATTTAAGGTTTTAAAATAATTACATTTTAAAAGATGAAAATTTCTATTTTAATGTCTTTTTTTTTATTTCCTTGTGTAGCTATGTAGGAAACCTCTCCAGAGATGTGACTGAAGTCCTTATACTTCAGTTATTCAGCCAGATTGGACCATGCAAAAGCTGTAAAATGATAACAGAGGTAAGACCTTTCACTTCCAGAGGAGTAGCAAATACAATTTTATCCAAAATTGTCAAAAATAAATGGAGTTGAGGGCATCTTTTTGTGTTACTGATAATGGTAGGGTTGATTTCTTTCTGTCTGTGTTTATTGGGCAATTCTTTGCTGAAGAGACCTCCTATGTGCTCTTGCTGGTAGCCCTGCCATGTCTGTTTTATCAGCTGATGATGAGATTCCACTGTAATGTAAAGGATTGCTACCCCTCTCTCTTCAGAACCGTGTTGTTCTGACAATCAAAAACTTTGTTGTTTCCAATGTTATTCATGGCTGCTTTTTCTGCTTTAGACTTAATTTACACACGAGTCTCAGTAATTCTTTTCCCTTTTTCTTCACTATGGATATGCAGTCAAAAATCTTTCAAAATCTGTTTTGCTATTCCTGAGCCTCTTTTTTTTTTTTTTTTTTTGGTCAATCCTAGTCTGCACCTGCCTGTTCTTAGATTATTTGTTCTTGGAATAAAGCAACAGTTTCCATAGTATTCCCAATAAGGTTTTTTAGTGCTATGTGTTGGTAAGTACTAATACTATCTTCTTTCACTTGTAGATTCTCTGATCCAGTTAGTGTTGGTACCAATTCTGTAATCTTCCTGACACACCAGCAATTTCTTGCTGCCTTATGGACTTCCTTCTTTCCTCATTTATAACTGATGAGTTTCTGGCAAGCAGGGACTAATTAGAAGTGGTTTTATTTTTGGTTCTAAAACTGTGTTTTTCTTTATGCATTTATTGCTATTTCTGGTGGCTCCTACTAACTTGTTACAGATTTCCTTAGTACAGTCACCTAAGTTTTCTTGTCAGGATCATTAATGAAATATTAATTAAGCCTGATCATAAGACTCATCATTCTAGGAATGCTGCTTGTAATTCCTCTGTGATCTTCTTTTCCTTTCAAAATGACACATTGTTGTAGGTTTTTTGTATTGTTTTGGCTGCACATTAGCTACCTGATGCTTGTTTAATCCTTCTCATGTCGTGGCACTTTTGTTAGAACTTTCTAGAGAAAGTAAAAGGAGTTCTGCCATGTTCTCTGCCAGGTTATTGGGGAAAGATGAGCAGAACAAAATGGAATGTGTTACAGAGCACAGCTGTTGGTTTTTTTCTGAAGAAATAGTGGTTGTCACACTGTTCAGAATGCTGCCACTCCAACCATTGGCTGATTGAGAGGTGGCAGCGTCAGTTTGATTCCCTAAGAACCAGACAAGAAATTCCTCTGCTTATTTTATTTTAATATAACCACAGAAATAACAAGCGAGACATCTTTATGAAATAAGAATGTAAACAAAGCTACTGGCAGCTATATTCAGTCATATGGAAGTGAATGTACTCGGCTGACCTTAGCACCTGTCACCAGGCAGTCTATCAGGAGGGAAATTCTGTGATCTTCCACTGCCCATTTACTCGGTGTGCTGCCCACCTTGGCTGCCCTGAAGTCATCTGGCAGGCTTCACAAAGAAGGGGGGAAGGATCTTAATGAGAAGGGAATTAATAGTTGAAGAGGAAGGGCAGTAGCTTTCACCTTCGGTGCACTTGGGAGGGGTGTTGTTACATCCTTGCAGGTATACTTGTGCATCTGAGATCTACTGTAGATTCTGTATTAATATGGATCAATTTACTGAAGTTACTTTTCACTTCAGGGAGTTCATTTAGGGGGAAGGAAGAGAGGACAGCATCTTTTTTTTAAGTAAAGTTGCAAGCCTGCTACAGTAACAACTGTAAGCAGTGTGTACTGCAGACGTTAGCAGTGCCTTCCCTGTGTATTTTGCAGGTTTTTAACATTTTTTATATGATGTGGAAGTGGTTCAGTAATCAATAAAAAAAAAATAAAAAGAAAAAATCCTGAAAGGACATATAGAAGTAATATGCTTAAACCTTGAAGTTAAGTACCCAGTTAACTTCAAGTGGTTGGATTCTAGGCTGGAATTAGCAGCTACTGTGCTTTTAATGGCCAAAGTATTTGTGGTTATTGACCATCCTTCTGAGTGCTGTACTGTAAGCTTTTCATAGCCACTGCTGTGTGCTACGTTTTAGTTCTTATCTGCCCATTGTTGCTATCTCAGTCAGTCAAGTTTATGCCTGAATGTTTTCCATTTGCTTTTTTTTTCTTTTTTTTTTTTCTTCTAATTTTTAGCCAGTTTGTAGAAGCTGTGGCATGACCAGATTAAGAGGTTTCAGGTGTTTATTTTGGGAGCATGTCATACTGCAAGGAGTGCTGTAGCTAACGTTCACAGGTATCTTGAGCACCTAAAGAGCTGGACATCTACAAAAGAGGCTGCTCTTCCTGTTCAGACAGATTCTTAGTGCAAAAGAAGACCTCCTCACAGTATGAAAGTTACGTATCATATGCTTCAGCTGAGGTGTAAACTGCACTAAATCTGTTAAGGCCTTAAGTGGGTTTCACAGATCTTGTTTTCAGTGCAGCAGGGATGTTATGTGGAAAAAGGGCTGAGTTAAGGCTTGCTGTTTCAGTGCATCTGAGGCAACATGCTTTCAGAGCACTTCGTGGCTCTTGTGACTTAAACTCCTTGCTGTAATCTCAGATATGTCGTCTCACTGTTATTTTGCGTGGTAGGAACACCTAGTAGTACTACTCATAATACTGAAGTATTTAGGTGGAAGGTTCAGACTGCTTTATCCTTTTAGCTGTGTAAAAGCCTTGTGATCGGTTTGGCGATCAGATCTTCATGGCTTCCCTTGTTTAGATTTAGACAGAACTATGTTTGAAAATGTACAATTGAGTTCTATAGGGCAGAATTAGGATTTCTTTATTTATATATCCTTAAATGAATGTTCAGAAGTTAAGTAGTAAAACGAATAAAGGCTTATTCTTAATTTCAGTTAGTGCTGTGCTTTTCCTGGCAATGGCAAAAGTTAATGTGGCAAAGTATTGATGTCAAAGCAGTTTTTAGATCCTTCCTTGCCCATGTGAAAAATACTTTGTTTCTTTTTTTCCCCTTTGTCTTTTGGTCCATGGACGGATGGCGTAGGTAATGAAGATATTTGAGTGTGAGGCTGTAGCTTTTGTACTTCTGACATTTTTTAGGGAGATTAAAAGTATTTAAGTTAGGATTCTCATAATGACTTCTCCTTGATCAGCTTTCCTGAAGACTTTTGTATTTGTTGCACTTCCTACTCTGGTACATGTAATACCTTAGGGAGCTTTGTTTTTGAGTCAGCCTACAGAAAGAGGTGTTACCCAGGATAAAAGAGTAGAAATCAATTGATTAGTATCTTCTCCCTTGATCTTCAACTATTTTCAGACCTTTTAAGGGGCATTTCGCAGTCACTAAGTGTAACATTTTCCACTGGAGGCCAAGAGGATGCCATCTCTGGGTTGCTGTCTGTGGATGGTTTTCAGACAAATAAAACAAGAGACAAGTAGCAGGAGTGAGAAAATTGCTAAAAAAGAGTATGGGAAACAAACCTTTCAAGCTTTGAGTATCTGCTAGAGGCAGCAAATTGTCTTGGTTCCTTCTGCTCCTGTTTTTCCCTCCTCTCCATCCAGTCTTCAGATCACTTTTCTGGTAGTTGAATTATTTTTAGTTCCGTAGAAGTACTGAGGCCTCATAGAAAGTAAACTATACTTCAGAAATTGCTAGACCTTTAATGAAAAGTCCATCTTAAAAGTTTCTTACGTTTAAGTGTAATTTCAAAGGCTATTTCATAAATCTAATGAAGTAATTCTTAAAGTTTCTAGCTATAAGTAATATATTTTCCTGGATTTTCTTCTCAGCAACCCGATAGCAGAAGGGTCAACTCTTCTGTTGGATTTTCTGTTTTGCAGCATACAAGCAATGACCCTTATTGCTTTGTGGAATTTTATGAACACAGAGATGCAGCTGCTGCATTAGCTGCTATGAATGGGAGAAAAATTTTGGGAAAGGTAAGTTGTTTATGTTGTAATCTTAATCTTAAGGATACTGTCTTTGTAAAAAGTACATGTATGGATTAGTAAAACTATGGGATATTTGTTTGTTAGAAATGTTTACCAAAGTTAAATATTGTTAAAGTTCAGTAGAAAATAAAAATGGTATTTAGAAAACATTCTTTGTGATTTTTTTTTTTAAGTCCTTTATAGTGAAGGATGATTTGGTAACACTGACAATTGTGACCAGCCCTTGAATGACCTTATAACATGTAGGAATTTTATGAATTTATACTAAATCTTGTACTTATTTTCAGGAGGTCAAAGTAAACTGGGCAACAACACCAAGTAGCCAGAAAAAAGATACATCCAGTAAGTAAAGTAATGGCACAGTATTACTTCTACACCAATACTTCATAGCACGTGGTAGTAATTGCCATAAATACATTCAAATGTAACTTTTCTCCTTCCCATTTTGTGTTTAATAGAATTTTGCAGACTAATTCTTCTGTTTCTGTTTTGCAACTGGGGAAACTGGAGCGAACAGACTTAATTGCTGCTGCTCATCAAGTGGAAACCTGACTGTTCGTGGTTCCCAGTGCTGTGCACAGAGCGTCACTTTTTCAGGAGCTAGAGCTTTAGATAGCAGTTAAATATTTGATTAGCAAATTATTTATTTTCAGATCACTTCCATGTGTTCGTTGGGGATTTAAGTCCAGAAATAACAACAGAAGATATCAAGTCAGCGTTTGCTCCTTTTGGTAAAATATCGTAAGTATCATAACAAACATTGCCAGTATCGGTTAGAAAACGTGACAGAACATTTTGTGCTGATTTGAAATGTTATTTCTTATCTTTTAAATGATTTTTCTGATGTCAATTTCTTTGTTGGGTGGGCAGTGAAGAGGGATCATTATTATTTCGTGTCTGTATCTATATCTGTTATCACATGTTTGTAAATCCAGTAATGTAATTGTGCTTCAGTTTTGCTGAGAGCAGTATGCTTTTAAGTTACACCCTACTATGTTTCAACTTCTTAGTAAAATTTGATGACTGTTTCTAAGTGTGACTTTTTATTGTTCAGAATGTGTACAGAATAGTGAGTTTACAATTACAAACATGGCATTTCAGTGTATTTTGTTCATGCTGCGTTTTATAGGCAGTATAGAAAGCCACTCAATTATAATACAAATTTATGAACTAGTTGTACAGCTTATGACAATTTTCCAAAAGCTAATGTTTCTTAGAATAAATAACTTTTTTGGATAACAGCTGAGATTGTAGTGATCAGCCATTGATTTCAAAATTATATGTGCACACTTCTGTTAGTTGAGAGAGAGTTTAAACTTCTCTCAGAAAATCCAGGTGGCAACAAATGATCTTATCTTTGAATTGACCACATTTGACATTACAAGAATGCTTGTAAGTCCTAAAGTATGTGTGCAAAAGCACTGCTACAAAAAAGTCTGTTATCTGCTATTGGCTTATCTTTATGGAAATCCTTTGAAGTTGCTCGTGAACGTTGTTGTGCTGCCTCATGAGAATGTATTTCTAAGAACAGAATCCTTGGTTTTCTCTTGTTCTGTACGCATGTTTTTAATTGAACCATAAATCTTATTTCTTGCCTCTGCTGTTTTGTGTACTTTTTGTCTCTTAATGTGGTAAGTAGTGCTGTTTGAAAATCTATATAAGAGAATAATTCAGGTTTCTGTTTCTCGATCTATATTTATACCTGAGACCTGCAGTTTTTCTAAAGTCCAAGTCACAATTAAAAGTAATAGCATTCTGGTTATTTTGCAGAATTGCTCATAAGAATGGACAGGATCTTGAAGGCTAACTGCAAGGAACTGTGCACACTGGAACTCAGTTGTAGATTTTTTCTCATTTCTATTTATTCTTATTATACATTATTTATTATATACATATTTTAGTATTTACATTTTAACATTCTATATTCAGTGCAGTTCTATATTTCCAATCATTTTAACTTACTCACTAAAATTTCTGTGTAAATTTGTTGTTTTCGTACTGGTGTGCTTAGCATTGTTGTTAGTTTTATTCTCCTTTCTTAAATTTCTGAAAATGTCAATTTTTCAAAATTTACAGCTGCCCAAACTCCAAAATGATGGTAGAGAATTGACCAAGAAAAATAAAGAAATCTGTTAACAGGCCATGTATGCCTTTTAATTCCTATTTTTTCCTCTTTTTCGATTTTTTAATATTTCATATATTTTGTATCACTAGGCAGAAGACATTTAACTATTTAGAAAATGCATGGTAAATTAGATAGAATTGTTACAGTAATTTATAGAACAGTAAACTTTAGAGGACCCTAGCCAATAGAATTTTAGAAAAGGCAATTTTGTTTCTCTTATAGTTCAAATCTGACCATTCTAGTTATAGCCAGTACAGGTTATGTGGATAGGTTGCATGTCTATTACATGTTATTTTTTTTGTCCTACTGCTTTTTTCTAACAGGTAAAGAAACGATAGGGAGAGTTCAGGAATGATTAGTTTTAGGGCTAACTGAATTTATAAGAAAAATTATGCTCACAATACAGTGTGTGTGGTTCCTTTTAGTTTTTATTTTGCAAGTTATTAATTCTACCCTCATATAGCTGTGCTTCTTTCCACAGGGATGCACGGGTAGTTAAAGATATGGCAACTGGAAAATCAAAAGGCTATGGTTTTGTATCTTTTTATAACAAACTGGTAAGTAATGACAACATTGTTTTAAAGTAATTGCAGATTTTCATTTGTTGTTTTTTCTCTGTTCTGTATTCACTGCATATCAGACTTTCCCAAGTGAAGTACGTGTGAATTTAGAAGACAAAGTTAACGTTGTAAAAAATGTCTGATATGTTTAGAAAGGGTTGAAATGATGCAGACGATTGCAGTGCTGCAGGAACGTGGTGTTGTTTATCTTTGTCCATTGAGCCACTTCTGCAGTGCGTGGAGTCGGGATCAGAGCTTTGGAATGCTGTGCTTTGGGTCTGTTAGCTGAGGAGTTGCAGCAGTCTGGTGTGGGTTTCTGTGTGAAGATAGAAGATCCCACAGAATGCATCCTGGAGCCCTTCCCTAAGGAGTGGGGCTGTGGCAGTGCACAGCTGGGCTGGGTGTCAGACAGGTTTAGGTTCATGCCAAAGCTCAGCCTTGCTGAGTACCCAGCACTGCTTGCTGTGTGTATTGTATGTTAAAGTGGAGTTGATTTCATTTGTCTGCTTCTCATTAAAGGAGCTCTGGGTTGGTCCTTTGCTTTTGAGTTTTTACAGCATTTTGAAATCTCTTTGCACGGAGCAATTAATTTACAGCTAAGATTTGATTCTGTGCCTCAAGTGTTTTGCTTGGTTTTGTGCTGAGTGTTATTACAGAAAGGATAACTTTATGTATGCTTATGAAATAATGTTTCAGACAAGTGACTGGTGTCCCTTTCTGATAGGGGTATTGTAGGTGTTATCTGTAGAACTTAGTCAGTGTGTCACTGATGAACAAGTAGTGTTTTGTCCTACTGTTCATAGCAATGCATCTGCCTCAAGTAATTCTTTGTAATTTTTGAAGTTAATTTTTAAGGAAAACTGAGCTGTGTTTCGAGATGCGTTCAGGACAGCATGGGAAGTTGTGTGAAGTTTTCCTTAAGCATTTTCAGGTGTTAATGCACACTACAGTAATAAGAAAACTGAACTGTTGCATTGAACTGAAACGGTTATGGCAGCATGGGCTCAGTTCCTTTTTTGCCACAGTTAGGATCATCAAGACTAGCAGCGAGAATCACTTGAGCTAGTTTGTTTTCCTAGTCAGTTTTCAATTTATGTTAAGGAGCACAGGTGGAAGATTTGTTTTTTTTTTTTTTTTCCCTTATTGGTCCTCTCTCATAAAGTTCTCATTATGTATATGTGATGTCTTCATAATGACCAGTGTGTATAATTACATGGGATCGAGGTCCTGGGTCATTGGTGTCTGAGATGAGTTGTTCTAACTGGAAGTCTCCGATGTGCAGCAGGAGGATGCTGGTCACTCACCTTTGAGTTGTCCATGTGCTCCCTTTGTCTCTTGTGCTTTACATTTTCTTTCTTAAACTTGATTCTCCTGGAGGAACGTTTTAAACATACGTACTGTTTGCTCTGCCTCTCTTATTTCAAAAGAGCTGGCAGGGGGGACTAATTGCTTCTTGCAGAATTGGCAAACCTTTCCTTTGCTTACAGTGTGAACCTAGAGGTTGTCTTTTAGTTTATGTTCAAGATAAGATGTTAAGCCTCGTGGGCCATGGCTGTTTGGCTTTGTGTACATATGCATAATACAATGCCTTTAACATTTACAAAAGTTAAAATGCAGTCTATGCTCAGACATAAATTGCATTCCTCCAAAAGGTAGAAGAGAGGATGAGGTGGGGGTGGAGGAATGGATGGCAGGAAGCTGCATGCTCAGTGTATTGTCGTCTTGGCATTAGAGATTTTTTTATTAGCTAGCATTCAGCCCTCCAGAATTTGAAAATTTTCTACCTAAATGGGGTCTGTTATGTTGGGCACAAATAAAGATTACAGAAGGCTGCATTTGAATCTTTTAAGTAACATCTCACACATTCTGCATGGTATGAACTTGAGTTGGATTACAGCTGAGGAATTTGCCAGTCAGATTTTGATGATTAAAAGGTCTTTCCTCACCTTGCATGTGTTGCTATCAATTATGTTCTAGTATATTCTGTTTTTTATACAGTCAGCTGGCAAAATCTTTTGATTTTCTGCAATTATAATTGTTTCATTTCAATAATCACTTCTGGCATCTCTGATTTCTGTACTGTTTTGGGCAGCCATCAAATACTCTGATGCAGATACACTGCCTTGACAAAATGACTGCATATGCAGGGAGAGGGAGGGCTTTACCAGATCACTTGTGAGAACCTGTGTGACAGACTGTCTTAATGGTAATTGATTTTGACTGTTTGGCTTTGCTGAATTTCATGGGCTTTTAAAGCAGTTACCAGTTTCATCACTGGAATTACTGGACAACTAAATCTTGTAGACCTGTACGTGCTTCTTGTTCGCATGAGTTAGTGGTCTTTATTTTGATCTCTTTAGGATGCAGAAAATGCTATTGTACACATGGGAGGCCAGTGGCTAGGAGGCCGTCAGATCAGAACCAACTGGGCAACGCGGAAACCACCAGCCCCCAAAAGTACACAAGAAAGTAAGGCCCTGTGAAGCTGTTTGATCTCTTGCATGGCACTGCTAAGTGGACAAGAGTGACAGTGTTGCCAAAGTCTTGTCCTTCTCAATTGAATATCTAGCTTAACTTCTAGATCTTAAAATTTTTTTTTTTCCCCTGTTGTGTTGTGTTAACGTAGTTGTGGCACTACTGGATATTGGATGTTTTTAAATCTATAATTTCTGTATCTGTATGAGGTAAGTATCTGGGATGCTGGGATTGCTGTTAGGCTGATGCTTAAAACCAGTCTCTTCTCTTTCCAGATAATACAAAACAATTAAGATTTGAAGATGTAGTAAATCAGTCAAGTCCAAAAAATTGTACTGTGTACTGTGGAGGAATTGCTTCTGGGCTAACGGGTACGATTTGTTTTATTGATCCTTTTATTACCAAAACTTCCTGGGCATCAAGATGGCTACTAATTCCAACATGCTGTGTGTTGTAGATCAACTTATGAGACAGACTTTTTCACCATTTGGACAGATAATGGAAATAAGAGTGTTTCCAGAAAAAGGTTACTCATTTGTCAGGTATGGATGAAGAGAAAGAAAATCTGTGATTTTGTTAATATACTGATGTTTGATCTTTCGTGGATTGTGTTTGAATGAACTCCTGGTATCTTAAAATCTGTTACAGTCTGTTCTGAGAACGTGTGTTCTTAGAAATATCTGCAGCTTTTAAAAGTGGCCACCAATCTTTTTACTTGTGAAGATGGTGTATGAAAGCAGATCTCTTTCACTGGATTTTCCTGCATGTGTAGAGTTACTGTTTTTGAGCAATCAATTGAAAGTGCTATGAAGAGTAACGTTAGTTTGTTTTTACATTCTTTAGATTTTCAACTCATGAAAGTGCAGCACATGCTATTGTTTCAGTTAACGGAACCACAATTGAAGGACATGTTGTTAAATGTTATTGGGGTAAAGAATCTCCTGATATGACTAAAAACTTCCAGCAGGTAACTGCGTTTTATCCTTTTCACTGTGTGTTCTTGTATTTGTGTCACAAAAGCAACCAATTATCCACCTGCAATGCCTCCCATTATAACAGCTCAATGTGGTAGCGTTCTTATGAAATCCCATGTTCTGTCTCAGTTATGTTCCAGTTGTTCATCAAATTGGGCTAGTGATTTTGGTGGAATATCTGTCTTCTGGATATGATTCAAGATAGGGAGAAACTTGGAGGTAATTCTGATTCTTGCTAGCATTCTTACTGCAGACTAGCTGACTGTCCTTCCAAATATCCCTTGGTATTTAAAGTGGGTGTGCTCACACACTTTCAGTACAAGGATCTGATTAGGTTGCGGTGCTGTCTCACTTATTATTCTGATTTCACTATGGCTCAGTAGTTGTAGACAGTGCGACTGAACAGAGTCAAAAATTGTACCTGTAGCACTTTGGAAGGAACGTAATTCACCTCTAGACCCTGAAGTATTAAGAATTGTTCTCTCCTTAGGTGGATTACAGTCAGTGGGGTCAATGGAGCCAAGTATATGGAAATCCACAACAGTATGGGCAATATATGGCGAATGGGTGGCAAGTACCATCGTATGGAATGTATGGCCAAGCATGGAATCAACAGGGTTTTGGAGTAGAGTGAGTAATTGTACTTAATCTTAAATGTTTCAGGAATGTTGTGTCTGGGCTTCAGGCTTATTTGATTGAAGGATTGCACAAGGTTTCACGCCTTGTAATGTGCTAAAGCTTATATTTAATGATTACTGTGGACCAAATAGTGGAGTGAGTCACTCTGGCATGTTCATAAGATGTTTTGTGCATATGGGTGTCTTGAGACTCAAGGTAAACAAAGACTGCTTTTATGTTAGTTTGAGACGGTGGTTATGTCCAGTAGCTTAAAAGTCATGGTCTCTACTTGTGAATACTGGAGAAGTCTGAACCTGGGAGCTAAAGGGCTTTTTAATTGTTGGGGAAATAACCTACATAATGGCCCTTCTAAAATTTTTTGCAATTTCAGAGTTTAGTGGACTTTTAATATTTGGTATCTTCCTGAAGTGTTGGCCACATTTGTTTGTTTTAAAGCAAAAATAGCTTCTTTGCTTTCTTAATTACTCATTACCTCTTGCCAGTTAAGCATATTAAGCTCTGGTAAAAAGCTACCAGTGGTATTCATGCCAATTAAAGACTGGGGACTTTCTGTGTTTCTGCATCACTGGTGTTGAATTACAGGCACATGCCTGTAGGACAGCTGCCTCCAAAGGCTTGTATGTGTAACGAGAATCCAAGGTTTGTGGAACTGTTTTTTTTTCTCCAAAAAAAAGCTTATGGTATTTTGAGAAACCACGTTGTAACATTTAACCTGGTATAAAAAGCTTCTGAATTACTCACAGAAGAATAAGTTGTTCTATTTTGGTGTAAATGGTAGTGTAGGAAGTGTTTCATGTTCCTTTAGCCTGCTATCTTGTGAATATCTGACTAGCTTGCATGATTTTCTCTGTTTATTTTTTTTTTCCTTTCCTGTTCCTTTTTAAGCCAATCTCCATCTGCTGCCTGGATGGGTGGATTTGGTGCTCAGCCTGCCCAGGGACAAGGTGCTCCAGTAATACCTAACCAAGCTGGATATGGTATGGCAAGCTACCAAACGCAGTGAGCTGGGACTCTGTTTAAAAGTGTGTATTTCATGATAGGCTGCAGTTTCCAGTGACACTCTGAAGACTGGAATGTAGACAATGAAAAAAAAAAAAGAAAATATTTATTTTAAAAATGGAAATGTTTGGAACCTTTAGCACAGCTTTGCTTTGGTGAAGGACACAAATGTCTTCTAGTTCTGCCTTTTTAAGTTTTTGTTCATGATGGATATGAACATGTTTTTCTTTGTGTACAAAAATTAAAAATAAAGTCAATAAAGACAATTCTGACTACAAATTTTGATATAGTAGGAGAAATGGCTAATGAATTTGATCCTTAGGTTACCATTCCATGTTTTTTTTGGTTCTGTCTTCAGTGTTTTATATCACCGTGCTTTTTAAGAGAAATGACACTGAGAAACAGCAAGTTGCTTTTAGTTGAACACACATCCTGAAATAAACTGTGGACCAATCATTACAACCTGCTAGACAGTATTGAGTTTTCAAGGAACCTATGGACATCGCCCCGAAAGCATACGTAGGTCTTGGAATCATTTTTTAAGAAAATGTTTAATTTTTCTACGGGCTTAAAGAAAACAGTGTGATACAAAGAATAGTTCAGTGTGAAATGAAGAACAGTACTGTCTGAGTTACTTCACTTCTGTTGTCCACATTCAGGCACATATTATAACTTCAGAGCTGGTTTGCTTATTAAGACTGTAGGGATTTGCGTTTAGTTTTGAGAAGTAAAAATGTTTTTGCAAGTATGTTGTTTGTATTCAAATCGAACAGTCATACTTGTGCTTTTACATGAGGTTTGAAGGCTACACATTGTAAATATTTCATAATTACAGTGTTTCAAAAGCATGCTCAAACATAGAAGTAGCAATGTAATTATTCAAAGTAATACTTAATATACTCTGCTGCTTTGAATGCAGTAGATTGACAAGAATGTGCAAGACTGACATTTCCAAAGTTGGCTATTATGTAAAGTTACATAAAGAACTATAACAAAGAGCCTTAATTTTAATTTCATAAATCTTTAATGCATCACCTTTTGGTCATTAGAAATACGGATTTTTTGCTTTACGTTATTTGGTATGTAAATACCTTGGTTAACAACCTTGTAAACCTATTTCAAGGTTATTATAAGTTGTATAGTATCTTGAGTGTTTTGAAAAATCTTGATGTTTTTTAAGTCTAGAAATATTTTGCCCAAGAATTTTTTAACAAGATTGTTAAAAACATCTTATTTTAGAGAATATTCAATGTGCCATTTGGTAAATGGAGATGCAGTTGAAACAGTACACTGAGTTGTGACTTATTTTTAATTAAAGTTTTTGTCTTTATGGGTGGTTTGCATGTGATGAACCTGTACAGAGGCTGGGTTGTTTGTGTACTGAGTGTGTAAATGGATAAATCACGAAGATGTTTAAATGGTATACTTGGGTTATTTCTGAACAATTTTATGGATACATTGATATAAACTGCCTCAATAAATTTGAAGTTTAAAATGAATGTAAGGTAGATATAAGTACTGTGTCTTACCTATGACAGCTAGGGGGTGCAAATGTTTCAGCTGTGTGCAGAAATACACTGAAGCAGCACAGTTAAATGTAGGATTTGCAGTGATAATCCAGTGAAACAAGGACTTGCATTTTAAAAGAAACACGAGGATATTTTAGCTCTAAACGAGTGTGTGAGAAGCTGTGTGCTTTCTGTGTTCCTTCCTGCGCAGGCGTTGCAAGTTAGAGTAGATTTTGAAAGGGAGACTTGCAGTTTTGTTAAACCCAGCCAGGCTGTGCGATTAACGACACTTAACGCTGTAGCAAATCACAGGAGTTTTTTCTTCCTCTTCTATGTGACATACTTGGTAGTACTCTGAGTTTTAGATAAGGCTGAAAGTGAGATATTCTGGAAGAGCAATTGAGGCTCAGAGGCACTTGCAGCTCCAGGCTTCTAATGCATGCAATAATGACCGAAGTTAGCGTGGAACCGTAAGTGCTTGTGATGACAGAACTGGCTGTTTATCTCTGTTTCTCCTTTATTGTACGTGCAGTGTTCTTTTGCTCAAGTTAGGAATCTTGCCTACAGGTCTCATTTTTCTATAAATTCTGTATATATGTGTATATCTACGCGAGGATCGGCCTATATGTTGTAGTTGGGAGGAAAATCTCACAAGTAAGTCTGCATTTTTATTACACTCACGTGGTTTCAAAAGAATCGTGAGTAGGTCTCTGAATTTGCAAGTCATCCTGGGATTTCTTAGACTTCACTTGGAATCCGGGGTTTCTACGCAGCTCAAGGTGTTTGACTGACGGCTGTGTCGTGGGCTCGTGCTGGTCTGTGAGCAGTGTGTTCTTAGGCACTGACGAGGATGTAGATGTTGGAAGTACGTTGCCACATAAGCGCCCAAGGAAGTGGGTGTAACTTTTAAGGTAACGATCCGTCAGCTCTCACTGTGTAGATCACTTCAAATCCGATTAAAAAACATGCCTACTGCAGAGTGGGGCATGGCCTGACCTGTGCTTCAGAAGGAGAGATGGGATGTACTTTCTCATTTGAGCCTTTTCTCCTTGGTTTTTATGCAGCTTTTCTTTAATGGTGATGTTTCTTCACAGACTGCTCGAGATACAGGAGTCTCCAGTGTCCTTTAATGTTTCTATAGCACTGCGAGGAGGAGTTGTAATTTGGATTGCTTTCTACTCAGTAGCATTCATAAATGCATAACTGACAGTTTTTTGGCACCAAAGAGCCTCTTGCACCGTACTGCTTTTATGAATGACTGTTACACTGTTGTAATTTCTCTAACTACAGAAATCGACCACTACCTAACAGGATTTGGATTTCAACAAGTATTGATTTATCATGGCTTAACTTGATGCGTGCAATCTGGAACAAGGTTTTAAGCTGCATTTGCAGAAAATGTTCAATAAAAGTGAAACGTGATGAAGGGCTTATCCTCTGTTGTCATCTGTCAAAACATTTTCCCTCTTTGCTGTAAAACTGGCTACAGGTATACAAGGCTGAACATGTAAACTATGCACTTGAAATTGTGTAAAAGATGTTTTATGGACAGTTTTTCACACAAAGCCAATTTGTGTTTTGTGGAGCCGCAGTAGGAAGGCTGTGAATCTGAGGTGACGTGAAGGTTTCCACCAGTCCTGCCTCCTTGTGTATATTAGTTGAAGTTCTGGGTGTATTCTTCCTACATGTAAACCTCATAAGACAGCTGTTCACTGTTTCAGAATTTCTGTCCTTTTGCTCACCAAAAACTCACAGTGAATGAGGCTGAATTTTAAAGAAAATGAGTGATTTGCTTTTCTTGTGTCTGTACACAAGGAAGCGGACTTAAACTGTATGGACATGATTAGTGTCTGATATCTGACTGTTTTTGAACAAGGCACAAGTCTGTGTTTTAATCACGTGGAACTTTTTCCTGGTCAGCAATAAAAGATTTTGTTGCACTGTTCATCTATTGAAAAACGTAGGCAATCTTTTATTCAGTGTGATTTAAAAAAAAAAAAATAAAGGGGGGGGAGTTGAAAGAACTGCCTTGTTTCAACTTGAATCTTCGTATCTATGGATAGCGTGGGGTACTTGAAGTTATTCTGGATTGCTATTTTAACAGCAGGAAGGTGTTCTTTTGAAGCTGAGTGAACATCTTATTCTGATCTTATATGATGCCTGTTAAATACTGGCAGACTTAGGGGGTTCACTGTGTAATTGTATTTCTGTTCTTAAATGGCAATTGTGAGGCAGTAGCTGCTGGGAAGGTCTTTGTCATGTCTGACTGCAGGTAATCTGAGATTCCAGTTGCTTTTTTAAAGGGAAAAAGAATTAAAAATGTTTGTGTTTTTTGGTATTTGTCACATAGAAATCTTTCTTCTCCCCCACTGTACCCCTGTTTCAAGTCAGAGAAAATGCAGAAATGTTTACTGGATGTTCTTTGCAAAGTAGCACTTTGTGATGATGAGTGAATGCTGTTTGTCATCTTCTGGGGATATGTACAGATCTAGATTGTGTGTATGCTCTGCTCTCCAGTATCTAAAGAGTAATGTTTCAGGAAGTTGACGTTACTAATGATTATTTGAATGAGTTCTTGCTTAAATACACAGCCGCTCATGCTTTAATTAAACCTGATCTGAACAGTCTTGGTTATTAAAGTGTTCCTGATATGCTGTAAGAAGAAACAGTGCTCTACCTTGTTTCTTTACACACAGGCTGTCAGTAAACTGCCAAAGTTGCAGTCTGGTTTTATTGAGAGGAAAAACAATGGATTTGTGTCAAGGAATTCACTCTGCCTATTTGGTGTTGATGAGCAATAACGTTTGAATTATTGCAGCTCTTTGGAAGCAAGAGGTCAGTGGTTTTGGAGGTGCAAAGGCTCTTTATGCTCTAGTCCCTCATCTTAAAGTACCTCACCTGCATTTCCCTGTGTTTCTCCTAGAGAAACTCTGCAGGAGACATCAGGCATGCAGAAAGCTTCTGCTCAGAGTTCTTCCCTGACGTGGGGCATTGCTTCTGCTCGCAGTGCCAGTCCTTTTCCTTTGCATAAACCCAGATTCTCGCTGATCCCAGCAACTTGGCAGCCATCTTTTCCAGCTGCTGAAAGGGAACGAAGGAAAGTGGAAACTTGTCCAGGTCTTCTGGGGGGGGAGAAGTGGTGAAATGAGATGATGCACGTGCCAGATGAGCATTGCTGCTGTTGCTGCAGCATCGCGTACAAGTCCTGTTGTCAAACACACTTAAGATCATGACAGCAAATAGCACAGATAGCACAGCAGTATGGGAAGGGTGGTAAGCACTCAGACACAAATTTGCTTTATGGCCTTGCTTAAAACGACGTGCTTTAAAATTGCAGAAATAGAAAGTAAGTAATTTAGCCACTTTCTTTGTTTTCATTTCTTGAGGTACATGTTAAAGAGCCAAACCAGAATACCTAAGTGGACTCAGCAGACAGGACCCCAAAGAGCAGACTGGGATAAGCTGCTGTTTTCATTGATATTTGCTTAATCTTGGTCTCTTATCTTGGTGTTCTGTTGTTTGCCTCTGTTGACCCTTTAGTTTGTACAGCTAAAGTAGTTTGAAATCGACACTGCTGTGCATGTTCAGTGTCTTATTCTTTAAAAGACTCTCATTTCAGGATTAGGGATGGGTAGGAATTAAGAATCACAAGCTCTACCACATGAAACACCGAATAATGCTTACATTTCTGAGATGTAAGTTGACTTACGAGAGCCAACTTGCAGTTTAAATATTGTGGCTTATAATGAGAAGCTGCCATCCTCTATTTCAGTGGCTAGGATCTTTGACCCTAATGAACAGGCAGCTGTTGTGCTGTGCCACGATAAATGCGCTTTGCAGTTTCTTTGGCCCATTCAGTGAAGGAGATCTTTTATTCCACAAGTGAGTTCCTTCCTTTAATGATGAGTCATTGAGCATGATGGGAAAGAGCAGTTGACACCATTTATTGCTTCATTCAAGTTTTCCAGTTTGAGTGTGGGTCCTGACAGGGTGGGGAGAACGTTATTTAGTTATTAAAATGACCTGTCAGGTTTGAAGTAAGCCTCTCTAGAACCTTTTCTGTGTATTACATGAACCTGGAAACACAAGGATGCTACGTGCTTTAGGTCTCAAAGAAAGAATTGGCCTCTTGGAACTGCTGCATGCCACAGCTACCATAAAGGATTGATTGCTACTGGAAACATCAGAGCATTACTACTGGCTTTAAGTGCAAAGCTCGTGTTCTGTAGTGTATGAACCTGACCTGTTCATATGTGAATATTCAGAGAAGTCTGAGCATCCTCCATTGTCCTGGTAGCTTATTTCAAATACGCACTTTTTTCATTCATGAGAGCATGGCATGATTTTGTAAGAGAAATGTCTAATGTTTATGACTAATTACCAAGTTTCAGACTGCCTTTTTTTAAAGTGATTTCTAGCTTATTGTTCCTAGATTAACATTGCCTGCTGCAATTCTGTGTATTCCGTGGAATAAGAATAGGAAGTTCCAGGAAACCGCTCAAATTCCTTCCCAGGAACATTTTCAGCAGCCAGCAAATTACTATAAATTTGTAGTATGCACAAAACAAGGCCTCGTTCCAGAAATGTAGGAAGAGTTCATACATCTTGCTAATGTATTTTGATACAGTCAGTACCTGCGCTCAGATCAGCTTGTGTTACTGGTTACTGGGTTGTTAAGGTTTAAGACTGCTCTGCTGTACTTTCATCAACTACGTTAGAATATCATGTTCAGCATCTTGTTTTATGGCCTTTTGAGAAGCAGACACAAGATGTGTGTGTGGAAATTTGGCGAGGTGTGCAGTGCTGTTCTCTGAAGTCTGCTTTACAAGATCACAGCAGCGTCAGGCAGAAACTGTGTAGAAAATGGGTGTTTCAATTCCTTTGCTGTAAGATCTTGCAAGTTAAGTTGCTGTAGTTAATTCTGTAAGGAAGGCAAACGCTGTGTTACTAAAGTGCAGAAGAATGAATGAATCTTAGTCATGGAAGCTGTA